GCTCACAGGCTGCATGATTAGATTTCCGTCGACCACGGCCACAAGAAGAGCTCTGGTGAGAATCACGTTTCTCTTGTACTACGTCGTGCGCCTGGTGCCCATGGCGTACATCATGATGACGATGGTGACGATGATGCCAAGCCTGGTCCTAATCCAGATGACCCTCATGACGGGGACTATCGCCCTTGGCACCGGCGTCCTCGTGAAGATCGGGACTGGCAAGATTATCCTTGGTCTGATCCAGATGTTGGCGATCCCTGGTTGTCTGCTACTCGGACCTCGCTGGCCCCACCTCGCAAAGCATCTCGTCAGCAGCTTCATGCGGATGGTGCTGCGGAGTCTCGTGCTGCTGCAGGTATTGGCGTGGACGTGCGCCTCCTGATGGACGTGCGCTTCCTGGTTGCCGAGCGGTTCCTGATGGGCGAGTGCTTCCTGGTGGACGTCCACTTCCTGATGGACGTGCGCCTCCTGATGGACGTGTGCCTCCTGATGGTCCTTGGCTTCCTGTCTGCCGAGCGCTTCCTGATGGACGTGTGTTTCCCGCTGATTGTGGCCCTCATGATGGTCGCGGACCTTCTGATGCACGGTGGCCGGCGATGCCTGCCTTTCCTGCTCTCTCCGACGGAGTTCCGAGTGCCGATCCTCTTGGTGCAGATGTGCAGCTCAAGGATGTGCGAGCTATGTGGAGAAGCTAGCTCTTCGTGCGGCAGCGTCTTCTGAAGTTCGTCGCTGTCGTGCCTGGCTCTGTCGTCGATCTGTACTTTGTGCCCTGGCTGCGGAGCGGCGGCAGGCCCTGATATTCAATGCCGAGCTTCGTGCACTTTTTCAGCGGTCTCCTGCTGATTTCTCCCATGTCTTGGACAAGTACGTCGTTGCTCACGCGGCTCTCTCTGCTCATGGTGGTGACGGTCCTCGCGGTGTTTCTCTCGTCGAGCCACTTCCTGATGCAGGTGCTCCTCCTGAGCATCTCCCTTGTGCGGACGGGGACTTCGTAGTCCAGATGTTCGTGCTGACTCTCCTGACGGGATTTCTGAGCAGGCCCGCTGTCGGCAGATGCTCAGGGCGATTGGAATCACATCTGAGATGCACGCCTCACTTCGTGCTTCCATTGGGACCTCCATACCTCTATGTTAAAAACCACGTTCTTCACTAATTCTGGGGAAAAGTACGAAATGACGACGAAACGGCGAACGACGAACCACGAGTTCAGAACGTTGCATGACCAACCACGAACGACGTTTGACGAGCCATGAGAGCGGAGTTCGGAGCGCACTCGACGGAAACAGGAGAGTGAGCAGAGCGAGACGAGAAAGGAGGAACGGCGAAGGAATAGCGATGCTGGAAGGAGGAGGATGAGGAGGGAAGAGGGAAGAGGAGCGGGAAAAGAGAGAAAGAGGGAAGAGGGAAGAGGGAAGAGAAGGACGAAGGATGGAGAAGGGCGCGGGGGCGAGGAGTGGAAGGAAAAGTGAAATGAGGAGGGGGCAGAGGGCAGAGGGCAGAGGGGGGAAGGGGGAGGGGAGAGGCGGCGCGGCGCCGCAGTGATTGGCTCAGGGCGGCGCCTCGGGCCTCCCCTCCAGTGTCGCTCGCGCGCTCGCGGGCGAGCCCGCCGCCCGCCGCCCTCGCGCGGACGGAGGAGGGGAAGGGAGGAAGGGGGGGCGGAGGATTGCAGAGGGGGGAGGGGTGGAGGAGTTGAGGGGGGAAGAGGGAAGATGGAAGATGGAAGAGGGGAAACGGGGAACGACGAGGAGGATAATGAGATGCGATGGGCGGTGGACGCGCGGCGCCGTCTCGTTCCTATCATCGCCTCCCGCCTCCCCCCTCGTCCATCCTCCCCTATTCCTCCGGCCTCATCCGCCATGGTTCCCATCCCGCCTCCTCCTCCCCCTCTTCTCCTCCCTTCTCATCTTCCCTGACCGAGCGCTCGCCCAGATTGACCTGATATGATATAGGTGTATCTCTCTACACATATATATATATATGTATATAAGTTTAGCTGTGTATACATCTTGATATACATACATACATACATACATACATACATACATACATACATACGTACGTACGTACGTACATACATACATACATACATACATGTATGTATACGTGGCGGGCTCAGGGCGAGACCCTATCTCAATACATACACGTTTCCCTTTCCCTCCAACCTCCAACCTCCCCCATGCCGCCGCTAATCCTCATCGCCCTCCTCGCCTTTCCCTCGGGCGTCTCCCCCCTCCTTCCGCCCCCCCTCCCTCGCCCTTCTCGGCCTTCCCTCTCCAACGTCCCCCTCTTCTCCCTACCCCCATCCCCCATCCCCTCACTCTCGTGCCCGAACCCCGAACCCGAGGTCGGCAGGCAGGGGGCAGGGGAGGCGAATGAGAAGGACCTCTCTCCTCTCCTTCTTCTTCCCCTCCTCAACTTCCCTCCAATCTCCTCCATCATCCGCCCTCTCCCTCCTCTTTCCTCTCTATCGCCCGCGCCCCCGCGCCCAGGCGATAGTGACGTGCTCTCGTGCTCTGGGTTGTATGCCGTGCTGTGCGTTATCGTGGACGTCCCGACTGCTCGC